TCATGAGAATGTGAAACGGATGATGGAACAGATTACGGAAGACATCAATGTGCTTCGCGTTCAGCGTTATCGGGTGCGCACAAAAGGATGTTGATTTATCTGCGGGAAACCGGGGCACTGGAAGAGACAATGTTCGCAGAGGCGTGGTGTTACTCGTGTGACGAATAAACTTGTGCAACCTTATTTTTCTTTTCGGATCGAGGATTGTGTACTTGGGGCGTTGAGCAGGAGTGCGGCTGAAGCAATGGTGGAAGTAGACGGAACGATGGGAAGGTGCCTGATCGATACAGGTGCCGCAGTGTCACTAATCAACCATCGGCGAGATGAAAAGTTTCAGTCGTGCTGCCCGATCGTAAGAGCGGTTGGCGGTCATTCAGTGGGAATTGATGGGATAGCCGAACACACCGTGGGAATCGGGGGACGAAAGCGAACACACTTCTTTCTCGTGTCACCAGATGCGAAACAAACCATATTGGGAGCAGATTTCCTGGAGCTCAATAAAGCTGTCATTGATCTAAAGCGTGGAAAATTGCTAATGGAATGCGGGTCACTACAACTCATTAATCGTGGAGAAATGAGATCTTCGCAGTCGGTCGTTGCTGTGTTACATTTGAGCCCATCTTTGCAGTCGCTGATCAACAAATACCAACCCTTGTTTACGGATAACAGCAGCCAATATGGGTTTTGCGATTGGATCGAGCACACCATCCCGCTAACTCGCCAACCGTATCGGCCCCATGGACTTCGAAGGATACCAATCCATCTGGAGGCTGAGGTGAACAGGCAAGTGCAGGAAATGCTGGACGCGGGCGTGATTGAGGAGGCACATAGCCCGTACAACTCTCCTGTGGTCTTAGTGAAGAAGACGAATGGGAAGTACCGATTCTGTGTCGACTTCCGAAGACTGAATGAAATTTCCTTGACTCGCTTCGTTCCAGTTCCATCAGTTGCTGACATTTTTGATCGGCTGCAGCAGTCGAGGATATTCACGGTCCTGGACTTGAGATCAGGATACTGGCAACTGGCAATAAAACAGGAAGATCGAGAGAAGACGGCGTTTACCGTTGGTGAGAAACAGTACCAGTTTAAGAGGATGCCCTTTGGATTATCAGGAGCCCCGTTTACCTTCCGACGTCTAATGCTGCGATTGCTGAGTGAATTGGAAAACGTGGTCGTGTACAATGAACAATGATTTATCACGGGATAAAAGCAAGTGCTTGACACGTCCCGTAGGATGGTTGAGGTGAATATGATAAAATCAAAATATGTCTGGGTCATCTATCGAACGTCTGCCGATATGAATAGTTTGATAAGCAACATCAGTGTAAAATTAAAATAAATTATCGGGCGGAAACATGCAGAAAGACACTGGGGTGCAGTGATCATTGAGGTAAAGAGTGAGAAAAGTAAAATATGGTCGCTCACTTAGGTCCATTTGATACATAAAGCCTGTAGAAATTCATCCTTGGCGTAATCCACAGTAGGGGAATTTAGGTAACAAAATGTTGGGAGCTAAGAGCGACATCTAATCGTTTTTTGAAAACATCCAGGGTAGGAGAGGATACAACTAAGTCAGGAAGTGCGTTCCAAGGTTTGCAAACCCGAAGGGAAAAGTAATTCCGTCGACACTCTAGACGGCTGTATTGTTCCTGCAACTTTAGGCAGTTACCCCTGAGCTGCGTGTTGTGGCTACGTTTCAGCAAATGGCTGCATACGTGATTGGGGTCACTCAATATTTGATAGGCTAATATGAGATCACCGCGCAGTCTTCGATAGCGCCCGCTGAAAATTCCCAACAACTTCAGCCTTCGGTGATAAGAGTGGTAGCGCAGACCCTGCACATTCTTTGTTGCTCTCCGTTGTGGTGCCTCTATCGCTTCTAGGTCGCGTTTCAACCAAGGTTGCCAAGCTTGGATAGCGTATTCAACATGCGGGCGCACGTAGGAATTGTGCATCATTGGGAAGATTGATGGGTCAAATCTCCCGAATGCTCTTCGCAGCATGCCGACATGCTGGTTGCCTCTTTTCGCAGCTACCTCAGCCTGTTTTGAACAGTTGAGGTCGCTCTGTACGATCACACCTAGGTCACGTTCCTGGGAGCTATTCTGCAGTCCGTTGGTCCCAAGTGAATAGGTGTAGTTATGACAATGGCGTAATTGTACGACGCGACATTTGTCTACATTGAACGGTAGGGCGTTTTGAAGTGACCAGTTCGACACCTTGTTAAGATCGCACTGGAGCCGTTCATGGTCTTCCGGCCCTCTGATCCTTCGCCATATCTTGATATCATCAGCGAAAAATAAGAAATCGGAAGTAATTGATCTCGCCAAATCGTTAATGAACACCAAGAATAGACGAGGTCCAAGAACCGAGCCTTGTGGTACTCCGCACGCCACATCGATTGCATCAGACAACGATTCTCGGACTCTCACCACTAGCCGTCGTTCTTGTAGAAAATTGTCAATCCAACTCAGGATTGGGTCGCCAATGCCATAATTACGAAGCTTGTAAAGGAGAATGCGATGGTTGAGGCGATCAAATGCTTTTGAAAAGTCCAAGTAGATGACATCGACCCCTACTCCATCATCAACAGCTTCAGTCCAGCTATTACGTGCAATTAATAGGTTAGTATTACACGAATGCTTTTGACGAAAGCCATGTTGCTCTGGGGCTATTAAATTGTGGCTTTCCATGTATTCCATCAGCGCGTCTGCGATGATTGATTCCATCACTTTGGATAGTACTGGAAGTAGTGTTATTGGACGGTAGTTGGCAGGATCAGTGCGGCTACCTCCTTTATGAATAGGAGTGATGACCCCTTCCTTCCATACTGGTGGAATACGGTTCTTCTCTAGACATCGCTGATAGAAAATAGCCAGTGGTGCTGCTAGATCACTAGCTACTGCCTGTAGAGCCTTTGGTCGGATATTGTCAGCTCCGGGAGAACTGTGGATACGCAAGGATAACAACTTCTTCAACACAGCTTCCGCAGTGAAGGTGATGTTTTCTAAACCAGGTGAAGGAGTAGTAGGAATGAGGAGAATGTTCGTGCTCGTTACCTCCTGGAAAGTTTTGGAGTAGTGAAGCCGTAGGAGATCAGCTGCTTCCATTGCTGATCGCGTGCACCCATCAGCCGTGACTAGTGCTGGAATCCCTCGCTTTACCTTTCGAAGGCCGTTAACGTGCCTGTACAGGAGTTTGCGGTTCGTACAGAAGCGCTTCATTAACTTCTGCTGATGAGTGACCTTGTCTTCGCGGATCAGTTTCACACAGAAGTTACGATGGGTCACGTATGCAGTCCACGTTTCGGCATTCGGGCAGTCCTGGTGATCTCGCCATGCCAAATCCCTCCGGGACATATATTTACGTGTCCTGCTCCTCAGAAATGAATTACGCTTGTTTTTAGGTTGGAAGGACTTCTCCTCTGATGCGTGCGCTACCAGTGTACTAAACGTCCTTGTAAATGTTTCCCAGGCAACATCTGGGGGGCATTCGGTTAAGAAAGTCCAGGATGTATCCTTAACAAGCTTAGACAACACATTGTAGTGTGTGACAGTATGCACTCTATCAACCTCCTTTTCAGGGTACTCCGCATAGCAAATATAGTCAAAGAGTAGAGTAACATGATCACTACGACCCAGTGGTGTGCTTGTAACTATCCCGTCAATCATGAGTTCTTCGTTAGTGAGCACAAGATCCAGTATCGACGGCTTGTTAGCAGTTCGAAATCTGGTGGGAGAGGTTACGTGGTTGTAAAGAGGGTGGCTAGCAATAAGCTCTTGCAAGCAGGCTTTAAACTGCATACCATCGGTTGCCGGCGTTTCTATGTCATGCACGTTAAAGTCTCCAGCGATAAGAATGTGGGTGTAGGACTTGTTTAAAGCAAACTGGAAAACGTGGTTCAGTTTGGAGTCCATTTCCGAAGTTGAGTTTGGCGGGCGGTAAATCACGGCTAGTAGACATGTGCCCTTGTTTCGCAACCATAGGCGGCACCAAAGCGAATCGGGTGCTCTGAGTTCTGGGTGGTCGATGACTTCACATCGGAGGTTGGTATTGTAATAAAGAATCACACCGCCTCCCCTTCCGGTTCTATCGGTCCGAAGCAGTGACATACCGGATAAATTGATCTCAGAGTCGGTTATCTCAGGGTTTAACCATGTCTCTGTAATCATGACGAGGTCCCGCGGTTGTGCGGCATGGAGTTCTCTAAGTTCTGCCAGCTTGCTTAGAAGGCCTTGGGCGTTTGTATACATGCAAGATAGGGCTTTTGTTGTTAGGAGTTCATTGATTGATGTCAAGTTTGTGTTCGCTTTTAAGCCGGCCGTTAGGTGGCCGGCAATTAATCGTTTTTTGGTTTATGTATTTCAGTCGTGTTGTATGGCATTATTAAGCGTTCCTGAACAGAAGTTTCACTGGTGCTGTGCTCGGTCCTCCTGTGTGCCGTGGGCGCAGTTGTGTTGGTCTCTCCGCAGGACTGTGCAGATAAGGAATTTGCTGCGTTTGCAAGTTCCGTTGATTTGCTTCCGACTTTTGATCGTTCACCTGCTGCTTTTAGCCGGATCTCTGTTGGCAGCCTAGATCGAAACTTTAACCAGCTATCTAACAGAACTTGCGTCATTCCCTCGGAGTGTAGTGTTACTTTAATTAGCCTTGGACCGCAGCCCTTGTAGTTAGGTGATGACGGCACTCTTGTCAGGGATTTGGCAATAACATTGTCTACAGAGAGTGCTTCGCGGATGTAGCACCACTGCTCTCGGTCATGAGTTTGTGCATCGTGATCAGAAGAATGTAGAAGCTCGGGAACTCCATGAACAAATATGGTTCTCTTGCTATCTCTATTAGCAATACCGTGTTGCTCCACTGCTTCTTTTGCGCGATCTTTCCAAGGTAGATCAGGCAATATGCGTACTCCGCTCGGTGAGTTGCGAAGACGAACTGCTGAGAGCAGGACAGCCTCTGTCTCATCTGCTGAGTTTAGTGTTACTCGAAGAATTCGAGGTTCACCCGAGTGCACTGAGGTCGGGTGACGGGCTACGCGTTGCAGCATTGCAGGCTCAACCCGAATGTTAATTGCCTCGCAGATGGAACTCCACTGGTTGCGATCGTCTTGCAATTTACCTTTTATTGTTCCAGATTTGGATTCGGGAACATTGGTGCACACGAGGGTTAACGCAGCGTGGTTTTGTCTAGTGAGTGTTGGCTTTATACTTTTTGTTGGCAATTCGCGTTGTTTAGAGGACACCATTGGAGTTGGCGGTGAAAGCTGCTTTGCGCCACGCGTGCTCGGTACTGAAAATGGACCTAGGTGTGTCCCTCCCGGTGTGTTTGTCGAGGCAATCGATGCGTACGTTACCTGCTTGTTATCTGCACCGGATTTCCTACGGCTCTGAGCTGTCGGCGTCATGGGTGCATCTCCAAGTGAAGCCTCTATGGTTGGAGAAGTGGAAGCAGGTATGTTTGAGGCTTGCCCACTTATGGGAGTGAGGTGACCCAGTGGATTTAGAGTCACAGACGCTGCAGTGCGGTTGGAGCGTCTAGCTCTTTTCTTCGGTTTAGACTCAGAGCTTACTTTGGCCGGGTGAGATATTATCGTGGCCGTATTTACCTCCGGGGGAGGGATCTTAGTATTTACAAATTGCGCGATTATTTCGGTCATCCTATCGCATTTTTTCATGAGCAAAGATAAGCAGTTGACCACTGGAATGACTTGACATGTTGGGCAAAACCAAATTGTGTCAGCAACTTGGTTTGTCTGTCTCACTTCTTGGACAGATTTACCTACACATTGCGGACAGTACGATCTAATGCAGCTTGAACAGGTGATACTGATCTTAAGCAGTTTACTGCAGTTGTCTGCACAACATTGGCGACGTTGAACCATTGAAATGCTACTAGTCCTCCTGTTGTTTACAGCAAAGCCGATCTAAGCGCTCACCTTGGTAAGTGTACTTTGCGCTAGGGGTGACGCAGGAACAGGTGAGAACGCGCACACGAAGTGAGGGTTGTTCAACCGCACCAAGGTCAGTGCAGGAGGCAGATGGAAATCGTAACGCGCAGACTGTCGGATTCAGCAATCAATCGACTTGCAGTGGTACACACACACCCACACAAAGCGGCAGCGTGTGTTAATCGGTCTGCCTTAAGCGACGATGCAGGTGGAGCGCTGATAAGCGTCCCTAAAGCTGCTCAGTTGACGAGCGGAGCAAAACGGCTGTAAGTTTGTTATGCTGCAACTTGCAGGGATGGTTGCCGCGTAGTTGGGGAGTCCACAACTTCTTCTTCCGAATGAGACCAAAATCTTTTCCGAAAGACCGGTTTGATGTAGGTACACAAGTGGAATACGGCAAAGATTATGCCGAAAACTGGGAACTGGAGCAATAGTGTAATCCACACAGGTTAGATCCGGGAGATGGAAAGCACTGAGTAGAGCTCGTCGAACTGGTTCGAACGAGCGCAAGCACAATATTGTGTGGGGAGAATTGGAGTCGCCACAGAGGGCAAAGCGAGAGACGAGTTAAAGTGCGGCCGCACTGCAGAATGTCAAACGTACGGGGATGATATCGTGGTGTGTAGCCAATCAGAAGCGGAACATATCCATCATCTCGCGACAGTTCCGGAACGCATTCAGCAGTCAGGACTTCGTATAAATGGACCAAAATCCAAGATCGGAAAGACCTGTGTCACCTTACTGGGCCATAAAGTGGGACAAGGCGAATAGAAACCGCTACCTGAGAAGATAATGACGATACAAGGCAGCCCAGTTCCCACCTCGAAACGCACTCTCCGTACATTCCTGGGCCGCGCCCGGTACTACAGCAAATTCGTCAAGGATTTTAACACCTTGTACGAGCTGTTGATACAAGACAGGAAATTCACTTGGAATGCAGAAGCTCAACGAGCCTTTGATCAGATTCTTCAGGAAATGGGAAGGCAGAAGTTGACCCTGAAATTGCCCATTGCTGGTGAGGTGTTCACGGTAGCCACTGACGCCAGCAATGTCGGGATCGGTGCGGTGTTGAAACAAAATCATGGGACGATTGAGTATGCCTGCTGAACTTTGACACCTGCGGAACGCAGATACTCAACCATAGAGAAAGAATGTCTCGCAATTGTCTGGGCGTTAGATAAATGGCGGCCATATCTCCTGCGTCAGCGATTTCACGTCGAAACAGACCACAGACCGTTGGAGTGGATTAAGTCTGCCAAAGACCCCAGAGGAAAGCTGGCGAGATGGGCATTGCGCCTACAAGAGTATGACTTCACGATAAAACACGTGCCGGGGAGGGAAAATCAAACGGCGGATTTCTTGTCACGCATGATAGATTATGATGACCTGCCGAGCGTAGCTTTCGGTATTAACGGTATATTGGGCGAGCAGGATCCAGAACGGTTGGCAACTGAGCAACGTAGCGGCAAACTCCTGCGCAAGTTGATCACCGCGCGATTAGCTGGTCAGACAAACTTCAACAAAAACCAACTTAAGCAGCTGGGACCGTTTGCAAAAGACCTGGGAAAGCTGCAAGTGAACGAAGCAGGGATCTTAATGTGGATACCAGGAGGTAGCAATCCTTCGGTGCCAGTCATTCCAATGAAACTAAGATGGAATCTGGTAGTTTCTTGCCACGAGATGGCGCACACAGGTTGTTCCAGGACCTACGATCTGCTGAAACAACGCGCGTATTGGCCGGGGATGAAAAGGGACGTTGAGAAGTGTGTGCTTTCGTGCAGACAATGTCAGCTCATGAAAACGGATTGCCGAGGAATGCAGCAGCAAATTATGACGATCCCGGTCTCGGAAATTGGTGAACTTTGGTCGGTCGACGTGATGGGACCGTTTCCACTGATCTGGCGTGGCAACCAGGACATTTTATTAATGACGGATCACTTCACGCGATGGATTGAGGCGACAGGAATCCCGGATCAACGGGCTAACACCGTTACCCATGCAGTCATGAATCACTGGGTAGCGGCTCACGGAATCCCAAAGGCCATCTTAACAGACCAAGGGCCGCGATTCGAGAGTGAAGAATTCCGGAACTGTTTGGAGAAACTTGGCGTTAAGAAATTGCGCACCACCCTATACCACCCGCAAACAAATGGCCTGACGGAACGTAGCAATAGAACAATCAAGGAGTGGATAGCAGCAAAAGGTGGAGACTGGGAGGAAACGTTGCCGCTACTGTTGCTGGCCCATCGAGCAACCAAACAGGCGTCCACAAAGAAATCACCATTCCAGTTGATGTACGGTCGACAACCTCGGCTACCTGTAAACCTAGAGATTGGAATGTGGCCAAATTGCCGTATATCTCCCGAGGAGACACGGAATAACCGGAGGACCGCCAACCGCAACCTACAGGCGACTCAGGCGCGGAGGATGGCGAAGTTCCAGACCAGCAAAGGTGGAAGGAATATCGAGTTTCAGATTGGTTCGAAAGTGAAGTACAGGGACCATCAACGCTATCCCACTTGCGGCCAAGGGGAGAGGAAACTCCTAGCGAAGTGGAAAGGACCGTACGAGGTAGTCGACCGGCGAGGCCAAGTGTATACAATCGCTCGGCAAGGTGAATCGCGGAGGGTGAATGCCGGCGAGCTGAGGAATGGTACGAATTGGAGGAGGAAACACGCTCATACAGTAAACATCCCCGGCAGTCAGAAAGACTCCGACGGAAGGCAGCTGACGCGAGTCCTTTGGAGGGGGAAGAGTGTGGTGGATTAAAGGTAGATACTACTGCGCCGGGTATAAGTAGTGTGGTGGGGCAAAATGACACACCAACAGCGAGCCCTGCCGACTTCCCCAAAGTTGGAGATGAGATCAGGATGACAGTTCGAGGTGCACGAGGAGTAAACACAGAGGAAAGCACCAGTTGGGGAACACTCCATGGAGATCACGCAGATGCGCGGACGCCTCCAAGGTATGAACGAACACGCCTAATGTAAGCCACTAGCAAGTAAACAAGTACCGCCTGCCTCTTGGGTTCTAACATTTTGAACAACTGAGTGCTATTCCAGGTTATCCGGAACACGTGTCCTAGAAACCAGTCTGTTAGCGAGAAAACATCGGAGAAAGGTGGACAGTTGCTCTATTCTCATCCTGCTCATAAGCCCGTTGTGCAGAAGATTTTGAAGAGCGGTTCAATAGGCCTGATGCGAAACTGTCGCTTACCGAATCACCTGAGCCAAGGTGGGAATTGAATGTCAATCACCCCGTTTTGAAAAAGATTCTACATGAGCTTTCCACACTGAGACAAAGCGCCTGGAGCCGAGGACCTCCCTCCGTCATAGTTGCTGTACTCGCTTCTCTACTTAACACGAGTTGGAACACTGAAGAAGCGTCGTCAGACTGGCGACTGTCAACTGTCGTGCGCATCTTCAAGAAGGGTCAGCGTACTTTGTGCGACAGCCATCGAGGCAATAGCCTTATTCCCATTGTCTCCAAACTCCGCACTAGTATCATTCTCTGATAACATACTGGTCCTCGTGAGAACCGAATCATCAGCTTCTGCCTCGGTTGTGATTGTATCAACCACAAGTTTACGCTTAGCCAAGGTTTAGAGCAGAAACACATACAGACGACCGAATGTGGTGGGTTTCCTTTAAATGAAAGTCGATTTCGACTCTGTCAACTGCATCAGCTTGTGACACTGTCTATCCAAAAAGGGCATGCTAGTTAAATTCTTTACTATTATGCAGTTTCTCTACCGTGACTCCCAAAGCCAAGGGTGTACAGGAAACTCTCTCCTGAGTTCCCCACGACAAGTGGAATTCAGCACGGTTGTCCTATACCTTCTTTCCCTTCAAGTTGGTGATCGAAATGATAATGAGTCACTCCGTTCTTTCAGACGCTACCGGGTTGGAAGTTCTGACAGGTGACCGACTGACAAACCTGGAGTATGCGGACGACATAGCTCCTCCCAGGTCTGATGCAAATGCTACGCAAACACTACTTGCTGGATTGGCGCGCAGCACTGCACGCTTCGGCACGTGCTCTGCACTTTCAGAGTGCGAAGTACTGTTCCAGGACTGGACCGACACACCTCCGGTTCCAGCTATCACCGAACAGCCACTGGAAGTGGCGGATCCGTTCACTTACCTTGGCAACTGTCACCTCTGGTGGTCACTTGACTGAGAAAGTTATTTCGCGTATCAGCGAGGCCCGTGTGGCTTTCCAAAGACTCAATCATCTTTGGAGACGGTGGGATATCAGCCTGTCAGTGAAAGGTAGGGTGGATAACGCTGCGGTGCAACCAGTCTTATTGTATAGATCAGAGACCTGGCCACTTCACAGTGGAGACCTTAAACGCTTGGCAGTGTTTGGCCACCAGTGCTTGCGGAGTATTGCTCAGATCTGATGGGAACACCGGTTGAGCCACGCTGAGGTCTTCCAGTTGCTTTTTGGCAAGAAGCTTTCTGGTACTTCACTCGAGTGTTTACGGAATCCCAATCGATAATGTTGGTTAGACTACGTCCTTCGTTTGCCTGTTGACCGGTTTCCTCGGCATGTGTTATACGCACTGGCCGCGCCAAGTTAGGCGGAACCGTGAGGTAGCCAGTCCATGATATGACACAGATACTTGAAGAACTATCTCGTCGTTGTCATTTAAGGTTATTCATGCGATGTGAGTCGTGACGACTGAATCCATCGCACTTCGGCGCTCGGATTGTAGTAATTCAACTGAACTGAACCTATAAATTGCACGCAATAGCTGGACTGAAGCAGTCAGTAGCGGAGACGGAGTCGGTGCAATCTACCTGGACTGTCCAAAGCGTTTAATTGTTTGACCATCGTACTCTACGTCACAAGCTTCTGAGAGACGACACTGACGACACAACCATGCGTTGGATAACGAAATTTTCTACGCAAACCTAGGTGGAGGTGGGAGT